AATGGAAACATTTCCATCTAGCAGTTAAAAAATGTAATATCACTCAACAATATATTTTAGAGTTGAGGTGCCACTGGAAAAAAGTCCTCTGCTTTGCACCTCATAATGCTCTTTTTTTTTTGCTCAAGGGATTTGAAAGGGCTCAACCCTGTGGATACCTAAAAGTATTTAGCATTTAGGCCCAGTTGTTTAGGGCTCGAAAGGTAAGCAGCAGCAGTTTGAATTGGATTTGGAAGAAAATAAGCAGCCAATGGTAATTCTTTCAGAACTGCTGTAACTCAGACAAGTCACAATCCTAGCTGTCAAATGCTCTACTAGATGAAGCTTCTGGACTGACTTCATGAGGAGTCACCTCTATAAGGCATCACGTTATTATGTAATCCAGCCTGGAGGTGAACAAAGGCCGTGCACTTTATTTGGGTCCCAGGTTAGACACACCAGTCACATACCCTCTCCTCTGCATTCCCTTGGATCTCATGAGGACAGGCATTGTAGTCCATTTCTAAGAAAACTGTGTGGCCCTCACTGCTATGGCACCACTTCCATGTAACACTGCAGCAGGTCACTCTTGCATGTTCTTGGCCATAAGCTGACGTTTTCCCCACCACAGAACTATCTAACAATGAATTATAAGACGAAGAGATATATTTCATCTCCAAAGGTCAGCTTAAATGTCTAAGACATTCAAAATGGCGAGGCTTAGATATACTACATGAAACCTTATACAGCCATGTTCTACACTGATTCTTCCCATGGAAGCTTCTTGGCCCACAGTTTGCAGTTTTATACAAGTATACGTAGTGAAGCACTGCAACCACAACAACCACATTTCCTTTGCAGAAATGTTATTTTCAAGGCCCAAGTTCTTTCCTCTAGATGATACATAAACATTATTTTACCTTCGCCAGAAAGTAAAACAATTTTTTAGAAAGACAGGAAACCTCAAATGGTTAGAAAGCAAATGTTTCTAACCCTGGCCTAACAGTACAGGGATTTTCAGATAGACAAACTTTTCCCATAGGTTTCTGTTAGTGCTAACTATGTGGGGGGGAATGGTGGAAGCAGTAGGGTGGGGAGCAAGAAGGAAATAAACTCTGCCACTATTTTGAAACAAAAAACAACAAAATCAGCAATTAAACATGTTAATAATCAACAAATAAACAAATATATTAATAAAGATAATAAAAGTACTTTAATGGCTAAATTATAGTAACTCAACTTGGGGGTTATGCTAAGTTATGAAGGAAGAAGACAGAGACTCAACTATAAAATGCTGTTTTGTTTCTGGCCTCAGTTGCTTAAATTTTGCTGCAGTTGGTACAATCTGAACCATAGTTTCTCAGCCATAGTGTTGGGCTGTGGTTTTCTTTCATTGCTATCCTCCTGAGTCTACAGAGCTAGGGGCTTATCTGTTCAGTTTATCTACTTCCTAGTGAGACAGTAGGAAGGGAAAGTCCCTTTGATATGGAAGAGAATGAATGAATCATCCACAAAATGATGGCATTTCCAGGCAAATGTGCTGTTTTTGTCTAGTGATCTGCTTCCTTTTTCCCTGAAGTAGTCCAAATGACCCTGCCCAAGGGTCAAGTGTTTCTTCAAAGCAGGAAGCCGTTTCCTCACTGAAAAGATGGACCCAAGAACCCAAAGGTTTATTTTTGGGGGTGGAAAGTAATGAACTTGGCACCATAAAGAAAGGACCAGGGGTATACAAATGTACACAAATGGATGAAATCAGAGCATTTGTACAATTTTAGGACATAGCAAATATCTGTCTGCTGGTTGTTCATGAAGAAGAGCAACACTCTTATAAATCATTTGTGTTCCATTGTGTTCTTGTGTTCCCCCCCAAAAAAAGTCAGGGACGTTAAAAGTTCTTGACCAAAGACAAGAGGCAAAAATGAGGCCTCATGCAGAATACATGCCCTAGCTGTGGCTCCACCAGTGCAAAATGAAAAATCTGCATTTTCATAGCTAACTAGAATTCATATTCTAGAATTTTCTTTGCCCCTCCCCCCACACTGCCATTATCTAGCTTAGTTAGATTACTATTTATTTATTTATTTAACTTGTATGCTGCCCACACTACCCGAAGGTCTCTGGGCGGCTTACAACATAAGATTCTCTGTGTGTGAAAGTGTGGGTAAGTGCTCACGTTCCTCTTCTATTGGCCAGGTCAGAGTTTGTGTGATGGGGTCTGTCTTTCATCCCTCCCTCCTTCACCTTTTCTTTGTGGTGGTACATCACCCATCTGGACTTTGTGCTCGCTGGACTTTGTGCAACTGCCAGAAGAGTGGGCAAAAGTAAAATCTTAACAAAGTCCCACAAATTAACCATGTTGTGTACCCTGTACTGTCACTCCAGTTTACAGCCATTTGCCTTTTTTTCCATTTGTGGAAATGTATTTTCTTCATGGAGATGCAGGCACAAATACCACCACAAGCCCAGGCAAGAAATGGGTTGGAGTGCCACCGGAAGGGCACAGGTGGATCAGGCACCGACCTATTTGTTCTTATTACTCACACAGAGACTGGGATGTGAAGGGGCTGCTGCTTGGGAACAGGAATCCACTCCCAAATACTGACATACTTTTGATTCCTACTCTGATTTGTCAAGTACAGATCCCAGGAAAGCATGAGTCGGGGCATTTTAATGATGACCACTGCTCAATGTGAGTTCAATGAGTCAGCAGATCCAGACTGCTGATTCAAGGAAGAATGCGACAGGA